AGCATTAGATACTTTGCTGAAAAAAAGAGACAAAAAAATCGAAATGCCTCATTTTTTAGTAGCTAATATATTGATAGCGACTTCATTCATACTTTTATCCTCAAATAATTCCTATGCGCAAAAAATCTCTCACCGTAACTAACCTAACTAACAGTCTAACCCCGCGTTAAGAATCAATAAAGCGATTCTAATCAGAAAAAAATAAATCATTCACTTAACAATGGAAACAATAAAATATTGACAGTAAATTTGAATAAGAATGAAGAAGAAATATTAACCTCGCTTTGTTAGGTGACCAATTTATGATTAATGAAATATTTTTATGAGATTATTCTCCGCGCTATCGTTTGTTTTCTTCTACAATATTCCATAATTCCATAATTATTGTGATGATAGAATTTGAAAAAATTCTTCGCATTTTTCTTTATTTCCTCATTTGTATTCATTTCGATGCTTTTTTACTTTATTATAATAATAATAAATTATTTTATCTTCATATTATTTGTTTTATTATTATTTTATTCTTTTATTTAAATTAATTATTTAAATAATAATGATAACAATAATAATAAATTTCTTGATAATCATAAATTTCTTGCTTTCATTTGTATCACTTAGAAAATAATTGCAATAGATTATAACAATTTTCTAAAAATAGCAATATTTTTTTAATATTTTATTTAAAAAATAGTAAAAATTTCTTAGTATTTACGGCTATTTTTTTTTGCTATTTTATCACAAAAAATTCAATAAATAATTAGAATTCTCAAAAAAAATTTTTTTCTACTTTTTTAAATTAAATTAATTTAAAAGATTATAGTTAAATTTTAGTTTCTTTTATTCATAGAAAATTCACAGAAATTTTGGAATTTAAGATTTAGAAAAAATATTTAAAATTTAATTTTTAGCTTTTCTTTGCTCAAACAACGCATATTATTTCTTGTTACAGCCTGCTACACTGATTGTTAAAATATTGCCCTTCCACACTGTTCCTTTTGTTATGTAATCTTTTATTCGGTTTGATATTCAGATGGATCCTTACCAGTTGTATGATTTTAATTGAATTTACCAACTTCCAAAGTGCTCATTGAAATTGCAGAAATTGCGAACCATTGAAAGTCGTCAATTTATTTTGATTGCGATTAGTACATAGGTGCATTAAAATCATCAACTGCGGTGCCAGTGCAATTTTTATTTATAAGAGCATTTAAATAACAATTCAGCAATAAACTTTGGCGAAAATATGAATAAAGCCTTTATATTTTTCACAATGATTTTTTCCGTAAATATTTAGGATTTCATACTCGCTACGTTAACTATTTAGAAATTTTTATCAGGGGAAATTACTCGGTGATAAAAATAATGAAGTGGATCAGCACTTTATGCCAAAAATTTTTTGATAGCAGAAATTGAATGAACTCTTAAAATATCTTAACATAGCCGAATTTAACTGATTCCTTTAAAGACCTTATCATACAAGTCAAATTTATTAAATGACTGGTGTGAATGAAAATTTTTCCAAAACATTAAATTTTCATTATAGCTAAAATCCATGTAATTATTGTATTCCAAGTGGATCTTCGGCCAAGAAACGCAGTAATCGGTGAGCCAATAGCCAATAGCCAATCCAGAAACTTTTATTCTTATAAATATTCTTTTAAAAAAGGCGAATGACTGCAACATTTCCATTCATTATATCCTAAAAGAGTCGATGAATAAATAAATCTGTTGAGTTCGACGAAATCTTTCCAATTTTCTCATAATCACATTCATATGCAAACCACATTCTTATGACTATTGAGATTTTTATGACTATGAAACAATTTTATGACGAAGTTTATTTGATTTTTCAGATTCATTTTTATAGTTTTCGACCAATTTTCCGCTTTTTTTTCGATAAAAATTGAGCAGCTGTTGAGAGATTTTATGATTTTTTTCATTTTTATTGTGTATTAATTTCTTAAACAAGAGGATTGAAATGATCAATCACTTAGGTATAATATTATTATAAGAGATTTTCTTTTATATTATTTCTTTTATTTTATATATTTATAAATCAGATTATTTGGTTTGAATTTTGACAAACTTAGCGATTAGTTTTATTAAAATATATATCACTTCATTATCAATTTATTAGCAATAACATTTATTATATTTGTAGTTTTCACTGAGAAACTACTCTACGATAAAATTTTAATTGAAGAAATTATAAATTATTTATTTATTTAGTATTTAAATAGGCCAATTTTCAAGTTTTAATCTTTATTTATAGGTAATTTTAATATTAAATTCAAACATTCACAAATATTTTTCGATAAAAATCCCTGAAATATAATAAATAATTCAACTGATATTCATTATGCAAATTGTTAAAATTGAAGATTTTAATTAAAAATTAAAAAATTTCTAAAAGTAGCAATTTATTCTATCGAGCATTCTAGTCCAACTTCTTTCTATTTTATCTTAATTCCATTAAAAGATAGTGGAAGAATACCTATAAGGCCAAATTTGTTAATTTTTTCTTTTCACGTAGTTACTTAACTCGCATTAATTTTTCATATGATTTAAGTGTTAAGATGAATGAAGCCTGGCATTTAATAATCAGCATATTTTATAGAATTCACTTCGAGCACGATTAGTATTATTTAAATGTATATTTAGAAAAATTGCATAAGTTAGGCTTAGGATTAGTCATAAGTCATATTGCCGCTGATGATAAGAAAGCTTAATGATAGCTTTGCGAAATGATGTGATTTTTTAAGAATTGTTGATCTCGGGTTGCAGCTGAAATTCTTTCGTAGCAGAATATTTTTAATAATTTATTCTTTACTTTTTTTTATTAAAACATTTTATCAGATATTTTATCAATAATTTATTTATTTTATCGAAGTATTGTTAAATATATTAAATATTTCTATCTCTTTTAATTATGTTTGTCTTTAATTTATTTAATTTTGATATTAAAAAATTTCTTATTTTTTATCTTTCTTATCAGCATTAACCATTTTTCATTTGAATATAATAGAGGAATGTCCTTAGCAGCGATTCGAATTTTATTTCTCATTAACTCTATTGGGACTAAAGTTGAACTAAGCAACAATCGTATATAAAATAAACGCAAATAGAATATTCTCTTCATGAAATACGATTATTAGAAGCGATATTTTTTCATATAAGCAACATTAAATGTTGCTTTTATCATCTTTTATCATCTTACATTCTTATTTTATCTAAATAATTATCGTCTTATTGATGACGATTGATCTTCTTAAATACATAATGATAGCTGTCTACATTGTTATTTTTTACGTAATCACTGGTCTATCATTAGTTTTACAAAGTTAAAAAAGTTAAACTTCGTGCGTCTATTCTCTTGCAGATCAATTTCATTGTTTTGCATTTTCTTCTTTTTTTTTTGTGGTGTAATAAAATCGTCAAAGAACATTTGAATGATTTACGATAGTTGTAAACTATTGCTATCAGTCATTGGATTTCAAAAAATTATTGTTGATTTTAGTTTTTTTACTATTATTTTAATATTATTTTATGGTAAAAAAAAATAAGTAAGCGTTTAGTCTTTCTTGCCCTTTCTAAATAGCGATTAGAGAACTTTTGTAAATGAAACCGTTTAGCAATAAAAAGCGACAGAAATGGATCGCCAGCAGCATCATTTGGATTCTTTTCTAATGGCGAATTATACTCGGAAGCGAAAGGAGGAATGCTTTTCTATATGATAATCCTAATCACAACTATCCATACTCGCCAATATATATTTTACAGATTAATAATTGAGCTAAAATTTATTATCAAAATTTACAATTTACGATAGTCAAAAATTTCAATTATTTCAATTATAAATTTCAATTATAAATTTTCAAAAATAAATTTTCAAAAACAAAAATTTCAATTATAAATATTCAAAAATAAAAAAAAGACCAATAAATTTTCAATTTTAAAAGAATGTGTAAAAATAATAGTAATAAAATAATAATAATAAATAATAAATAAAAAATAATAAGATAACAAAAGATAATAAATGAAAAATTAATAATATACTGAATAATGTAAGGAATATAAATTATAATCTAAGCCTAAGTGGAAATATATGGATGGGAAATCCATTACGTAAAGTAAAATTTCGAATAGCTGTTAAGGATTTGTGTTCTTTTATCCTTCATATCTCTAAATGGTGTGGTGAAAATTTCACATATTTATATTAGCCAATTGAGTTAGCTAAACTAGAAATTTTGCTTTTTTTTGCCTTTTTTACTTGATGCATTTAATATAGCCGAGTGGATAAATAGTAATAACATGGATTACCATAAAAATCCATAGAAATTACTTTATAATATAAAATATAAAATTTGTAAATTTTAACAAGAAGAGACTTCTTGATTATTATTGACATGAAAATGAAACGAGTGGGTTGAAAACAAAGTATATTGTTTATAAACGAATTTCTCGCTAGCTTCTGCTAGTTAAAGCATTGCGATAGTCCATTCCATGTTAATGATGTTCATTATTGTCGTCATATCATTCATTATATATTCAGCAGAATAACTCATATCATTATATATTTAGTAGAATAACACAAACTCTTTATTTTAACTATTATTTTTAATAAAATTTTTTTATAAATCATTTATTCTTTTTTTCGAAAATTTGAATCGAAATTCTATTTTTTCTAATCGTATAAATGTTTTATAAAATATACAAAATATGACTTCTTTTTTTTAAAATATATTTTATCTATTTATTGCTTTATTTATTTTTTTAATTAATTTTAGAAAAATTCATCAAAAAAAAAAAATTCTTTCGAAACTAATAATAATATTATTCTGGAAAATATTTCGTCAATTCGTCAATTATTTATTTATTTATTTATATTTTCTTCGAATTGAATTACTATTATTATTATTATTATTAAGAGGAAATAACTCGAAAAAAAACAATTCATTTATTCTTCAATATTTTCAATATTCGAAATAAATGCAATGAAGATGATTCCAATTTGGGAGAATAATTCCGAATTCAGTAACGATTTTGATATTTTTGCAACCGATAAGAAAATTACGATAGCGCGAAGTTGTTCGGATTTAGCACCACGAAGCGATTGTAAATGGCCACATCGAGCATCAATTCGACGAACAGCTGGTAGCTCGAATCTTGAAGTGCAACTAGTTGGCCAATGTCGATCATGTTCACGTGACTATAAATGTAATTGTTGCAGGCAGTGCAATCATGTTTCCATTGTATATACTCCGGTAGGTGAAAATTGAATTTTGCAACATTTTTTTTTTTTCGCTTAAAATAGCGTCTCTTGTGTATATTGTCATTTTTTTAATTCTAAAATTCCTCTAAACGCTGTGATTTTGTAGCAAATGTTTCCGATTATAGTCCTTTGAATGGAGTAAACCTATCATTGAAAGCAATCCGAATGAAATTCTGTGCATATTTTAATTTGCTGCCGAAATTGATCTTATTTTTATAAAAATTAATAATTAAATTAATTATTATTATTAAATAATAATGTCAACCAAATGAGAAATGGTTGAATGTTGTTTGTTTATGGTTATTTTAGAAATGGATTTTATAAATCATTTTTGGATATATTTGCCATCCAATGACTATTTTAACAAAGATTTTAATAGCTTGAAAATAGCGATCAATAATATAATAGTAATAGTAATTTAATAATAATTTTGGTAATAATTATAATTTAATAATAATAATTTTTATTAAATTTTATCGAAAACTTTAAAAATTTCAAATTTTCAAAGCAATATTTTCTAAAAACATAAAAAAGACGTTAAGCGATGTTGTATTATCGATGATGACGGAAATGCTTTAATTCAACTATTTTTCTTCGCGTAATTTTGCACTTTTATTTGCAGAATAGATTTTAATATATCAATAAAAATTAATGTAACAATAAATCAACAATATCAATAAACAAAACCTAAAAGTGGAAAATCGTTATTATTACAATTAGAAATTAGAGTTTCTCAACGATTTATCAATTAATTATTTAAGTGACAGCGACAAATTTGTTAACTAATTTTCCGTTTTCCTAAGTTTTTTCCACTATGATTTTTGCAAAATCTACGTTATCACTTATTCCTAAATGATTTCTCGCTGAAATGATTTGGTTTCATGTGAAAAAAATCAGTTAAAGTTAGCCAAGATAAATATTAAGGAATAGAATGGCTCAATGGTTCGGAACGCCGATGCTGAAGTTCTTCTATTCTGCGCAGCAACAAACCTGTCCAAAAATCCAAGTGATAGTGACAATTTCCTTTGTTTAGATCACCAAGGAACTTCGTGGCATATTTGTCCAGTGCGACAAGCCACTGAAGCGAGTCCAACTAATAATGGTGAGGGTTCTGAAAGAAAATAAAAAGAAGCCAAATATTGCAATTCTTAATTTGTTTCAAGTTTGTATATTCTAAAGTGCAAATCTATCTGAAAAGTTTATAAGATTATTTTTTTTTCGTAAAAACTTTTCAAAAAATATTCGAAAATGATAATTTTACAAATACAAATAAATATATGTCTTTTTGCATCATTTTTTTCTGCCAATTTCCAAAAATTTATAATTTTATAAAGGTTAAATTATCTATCAAATCAAAAATCTAAGGTTACATGGGTAATAAATAGAGGGGTATTGGTCAGGAAGTACCAATAATTTTGGTAAGAAAAAAGAGATGAAGTCTGCTGTTGTTTCGTTTAGCTGCTGATGGTATTTATTAAAATTTATCGATTATAAATATAATAAAAGATTTTCATCCATTTCCTGGATTCATATTTTTAAAAATAAAATATATATAAAAATATATTAAATTGTCTTTTTTTTTTTAAAGACTTTCGCTTGATATTGTTGTAAATTTAAAAGATCTCATAATTTTATTTTTTTTTTGGTTTTTTTTGTCCAAGAACATTCACCATTTCTGATTAGACTCGCATCGCTGGCTTGTCAGAAAAATTTTTGCCACGGGAATGAATCGTGCGAATTGGAATTTCAACATCGGCACGCTAAAGTTAAAACCATAATCCACTGAGATATTCCAATATTCTATTCCCCCATCTTTTATCACCTGCCGGATACATATTCGTGGAATTTATACGATGATTCGCTGAAATCCATGAAATTTTTTATCCAAGTTTTATTGCCCATGGACGATTGTTTTTTTGCTTTCGATATTTTTAAGGCTCTCCAATTTTTACATCTTCAATTTTTACTGCTGCTAATCTCTCTTTCTGAGCCTTTTCGATCGCAAATTTCCCAGTCGTTTATGTTCTTTAAGGCCCGAAATCATTGACTTTAAACTTCATACACCACATGTCAACAATTCTTTTAAGATAAAAAATAGTACCTCATTTATAATTCCTTTCCGACAAATAGCAAAATAGAGTAAAAAGTATACAAAATTATACACACAAAATACCGAAAGTACCATTGTTTTTTTATTTATTTACTTCAAAACAAAATTGAATTAAATCAAAAATCACAAATGAATTAATTCTAAACAATTTTTTTTTTTATAGGCGAACAATTTTCACAAATATTGTGCAAATAATTTTTTTTTTTTGCAATTTTAGTACGTATTTTACCAAAACCACCTTTGGAAAATCTTCATGTACGAATATTTTATAAGATGAGTGGTACTAGCGATTCATCTATATTTTCATTCCATCCGTAAGTGATTTCTTAGCAAGTATTTCTCAAATTATAATAGCAGTCAGAGGGGTGAACCTAATCGACATGAGATATGCGTTAAATGTTTTTATTAGCGCCAATCGTTGAAAAAAACCTATCAGTCATACTAATGAAATTAAAATTTTTCGAACATATTTTTCTATAAAATATTTTTCAAATATTTTAATGATACATTGGAAACTTTTTTTTTTGAGAAATCATTAATCATGAAATTTAAGGCATTCATTAAAACTTTTCAATGGGATTTTTTATAGTTTTAGCAATTCAAGGATAAAAGATAAATTTTTGCTTTAATTATCCTTACATATGGATTTTCTAAATATAAATAGATAAAGAAAGGATTTTGAGCAAAATTCATTTTCATATCAAAAATTCCAAGATTTATTAGGAAATATCTTGTAATTTTTTATATTTTCCCTATTTTGTTGGCATAAAGGCAAGCAACTTATCAAATTGATAAGTTGATTTGGCTAAATAGGTGAGAATATTATAATTTTTTCATCACTATACTTTTTAAAAGTTTTGCAAATTAATTTCGATTTTTTCACTAAAGTTCTTAAAAATTTTATATTTTATATTGATTGCAATGAAAGATAATTTGCTAAAAGTTGTCTATTAATTTCAAGCAATTTATTCGTGGTAGCAAATTGCTTGGAACTAATTAAGATGAGAAAAATTATCAGAAATGTACGTCAATCCATCAACTTTATTAGAAATTTTTTCCTTAAATATTTATATTTTTATCTAAAAATTTATTCCAATAATAATAAATAAAATCATATGATAATTTTTTCTGTTAATTATATAAATAAAAATATAAAAATATAAAAAAAATAAATTGCATAAAAATTGTAATTTTTAATGATAATAAAATGAAGGAAATGAAAACGATGGAAAATCATCGAATAAAATAATAAAGTTAATAATAAAGTATAAAATAAATTTTACACTAATAATGAATCTTTTTTCCTTTATATTTATATTTATACTTTATATTTATATTATATTTATATCATATTCTGAATTTTTCTTACAAATTCAAATTAAATTAACCTCGCTTTTTTCATTCGTTTTTTTTTAGAATAATAAATTTTCAAGTTTGTTTTTTCTACGGTGCTTACAATTTTCCGGTTAATTAAGCTTATTCCTCTGGCTTATCGCTCCATATATATTTTACCAGAAAACCACTTGAAAATAGAAATGCAAGTCATTTTTTCTTCTTTTCGTGAGTAGAACACCAGCATCGGAAAGGATAGCAACAATCCACTGCCATTCAACTTTCTCAATTAGTTCGATTGGTGTGTTAATTTGAACTTATCGCTAAAAGATTAATTTTATTTTATTTTATAAAAATTAAAAGATTTTTTTTCTAAAATTAATTTTTAAAACAATTTAACTTAATTAAATTAAATTAATAAAATTAATCAAAAAGTCGTCTGCTTGATTTTTCATTTTTTTTGGAAATGTATCACTTTAAATTATAAAATTAAATTTTTATTCATTATCAAATAGTTCATTCATGAATCTTTCATTTTACTTTACTTTTACCAAAAATTGAGCCAAAATTATCATTTGGATATTTAAAAATCTAATGTTTCCTTATTCTTATCTTATCTGGGAATCATTTTGTGCTTGTAATTTTTTTGCTATCCAAGTTTTGGCCAGAAGTTTGATTTGCATCATCCAATTTCCCATTTATTTCTGGGCTTATCTTTTCAATTTTGTAAATGTTGTGAACTTTCTAATTTTAAACACTTTAAATTTTAAACACTTTTAATTTTAAACATTTTTGCATCTAATTTAAGTTGGTTGGACACCATTTTGAAAATATTTAAATTAGAAATAAAAAATTTTTTGATTTAATTTGTTGAAAAATAGGTTTAATTATTATTTTAAATATTAATATAAAAAACTAATAAAATAAATATTCATTTCTGATTTTTTTCTAATTTTCTGATTTTTTCAAAATTCAAAAAATTTATTTTTTAAATTTTTTAATTTTTTCAATAAAATTTAAATAAGAATTTTAATTTTTGAAATAATATTTCAAATATTTGAAATATTTGAAATTGCGTAATATTTATGAGGCAAATTCTAAAGTTATCTTAATTCAATCTTCAAAAAAATTTTTTTCTTTTTTTCAATTTTTATTAAAAATTTTCTAATGCTACACAGGTTTCAGGTTTCAGTCGATGAATCATTTGAAAAGATAAAATTAAGTTAGCAATAGCCACCTGAGGTTTTATTTTAATAGGTTCGTCCAAATCCTTTAAAAGATGAGAAATATACTCATTAAATTTTCTCAAAACGATGTACGGAAATTATTATAATAAATATTAAAATAATGTTCGATCAAAGGTGTTCTCTAAAATCGAATTTTTTCGATTAACGTTGAATTCATTCGTTCATTTTTGCCCTTTCGCTCTTCATTTTTCTTCAAAAATGTTGTAATGATTATTCATTATTGTCGCAATTTTTATAAAAATTTTTGACAAAATTTTTTTTTTATAATTTTTATATTTGATCAAATTGTCCTAAAATTTCTTAGTGCTGCATTGAGAA